CCCCAAAACCCCAAAACCCCAAAACCCCTAAAAGATCTACTCAAGTTGAATTAAGTCACATTGGCGACATCTTCACGGCAGACCGGACATGAAACAGAGTTTTGCAACCATCCTGTAAGACAAATCTGGTGAAAAGAGTGCAACCATGGGTGAAGCTGTATGGGCTTCGATATACGCTCATCAAAGCTGTTGTCAAAGCACTGATTTTGTGAATCAGGTTCATCTGACTTATTTGGGATCTTTACAAACACTACTTGATTCTTGACAGTTGTTTCAGGAATGTTGAATGGCAATGTAGGTCTTTGAGAATTGGTGTCAGACCTCGAGATTGGCCACGAGCTGGTTGATTCCAACAAGTGTTTTATATCTTGAGTATCTACTGATTCGTTTATTGAAGTCATTCAAATTCAGCAAGTTTCATGCTCATTAAATTTTGGATTATCACTTATATGAGTGACAATGGTGTGAGGTCCACCTTCATTGTGATGAATATTGACATCCTGTTCACCTCCAGAGTCATCGCCTTGTTCATTGCCAAGTCTGATGTAGCCAGTTGCCATCAGTTTGTAAATAATTATTGACACAATGATGATTCAGACGATCATTCCGATGACAAATGATAGAGCTGTTATAAGAATGCTTGGCTGCTTCTTTGTCTCAGACTTGGAGCTACCAACATCTGCATTTTGTGCATACATTGCTGAGCTACTTCTGGATCCTCAGTCTTGTATTGCATGGTAAAGTTGAGCTGGCAGTTTGCAAATGTAGCTTTATGTATCTTTAATAAGTCAGAAGTTGAGTAATTTACAAAGACCAAGAACCCATTATACAGACAAGCAGAAGTGCTTAGTTCAACGATAGGATTAACCACAGGATCCTGTCTGATTTCAAAATCATTGTCTTGTTTCATTTTTGTATGGAGTTTGAGACTACTTCCATCTGAGAATTGCATAAAAGCCATCATGTACTGCTGAGTGTAACAATATGCTGAAAACTCTGAGATTTCTTTGTGAAATGTGTGGGAATAAAACTGAGAAGAGTTGTGGATCTGCATCATCACTAGTTCAGTCTTGCCTTTGTAGTGATTCATCACTGAGACATAGTCAGTGAAACCGTGATGATCTCTGGATCTGATTATCTCTGATCTTATTGGCTCAGTCTGCTCTCTGGACATCAACTCGTATCCTGGAAGTTGAATCCTGAATGTATGAACAGTGATCTTCAGAGTCATGATCTGTCCTTTGTCGTTGACGAGTATTCAGTATAGCATGTTCTCAGTCTTGCTTTCGAACTTTGAAAACACTGACAAAGCTTTGACTTTGCTGATGTTGATGTCAACTTTTTTGAGCTTCGACACAACAAGTTCAGAGAGAGGTGTACCTCTGAACTGCACAACAAAAATTTGGTCTTTGAACGATTCACAAGAGAGAACCAACATCAGAGTATTGTTTTGCAGTACTTTAGCCATTGGGATCTGCAGCTCCAGAATGCTGTCTGAGTCGTTTTGAACATGAGCTGGTTGAAGTTCTGACGAATTACGCTCATTAAGTGGCTCAAAGTCTATTTAATTACTAGAACTAGGCTTACCTTTAGAGAACTTTAAGAAGTCTACACTTCCACGATGAAAGGTTATGCAATCTATCACAGTGCTCTATTTGCAGTTCTCAAATGAAATGATCTCAAAATCAAAAGCAGTGACTGAAGTGTTGCTTTGAGTAGTAATTAGAACTTTGTCGTCAGTGAAATCAACTTGTGTGTTGCTTTCAAAACTTTTCATCAAAATTAGGCCATTTATACTATCAAAGGAGGCACTTTGGATTTGATTGACGAGGAAAAAAGGATCCCACAAATACATTGTCTTCATATTATTTGTATCACGACAGAGTTTAGCTATGTACTTCTCTTTAATCACGAGTTCTCACTGGTGGTTGATGAGTCTTTTTCCTCTAGCAAGAGCAAGGACCACGTGGATTAAGATCATAATCAAGTAATTTTGTAATTTCATTTTATTATTTATGAATCTTTTTCACTTAGTCTGATTTATAAGGGGTTTTGGGGTTTTGGGGTTTTGGGG